TAGGACCCAGGGCCGGGGGGGCGGAGGCCACCTTTCCCTAGGACCCAGGGCCAGTGAGCCTCGGGAGGGCGGCAGTGAGACAGAGGCGACCCTGCCCCGGGACCCAGGGCCAGGCAGCCTCAGGGCACCAGGGAGGCAGAGGCCACCTTTGTCCGGGACCCAGGGCCCTCGAGACCCAGGCAGCAGTGAGGCAGAGGCCACCCTGCCCGGGAACCCCTGCCACACCCTGACTCTGGCCCAAACCTGACACTGACCCCAACCCTGACCTTGACTTCAGTTCTGACTCTGACCCCGACCCGACCCCAGCCTCAATCCTGACCCTGACCTTGACCCCAACTCTGATGTAACTCTGATCCCAACCCACACCCAGAGCCTCCCCCGACCCCAACCTTGGTCCTGACCCCAATACCAATGCGGACCCTGATTCTAACCCTGACCCTGACCTCACTTTTAACTCGGACCCCAACCCTGACCCTGGTCCCGCCCCCGCCCCCGCCCCCAACCCCGTCTCTGACCTGGACACCTGCCACCCAGTCCAAGGCACTACGGGAGCGCTGGCTGCTGGAGGGGACGCCGTCCTCGGCCTCAGAGGGGGACGAGGACCTGAGGAGGCAGATGCAGGAGGACGAGCAGAAGACACGGCAGCTGGAGGACTCAGTGTCCAGGTGGGGGCTGGGGGGGCGACGGGGCCGGGGGTGGGGCCGAGGCAGGGGTGCGCAGGGCCGGGTGGGGGCCACAGCAGGGGTGCGATGGGGCCAAAGGGGGGCCAAGGCTGGGGTGTGACAGGGCTGGGTAGGGGCCACGGCAGGGGTGCGACAGGGCCGGAGGGGTGAGGCAGGGGTGCAACGGGGCAAAGGGGCTGAGGCAGGGGTGCGACAGGGCTGGGTAGGGGCCACAGCAGGGGTGCGACGGGGCCGGGTGGGGGGGCGAGGCTGGGATGCGACGGGGCGAAGGGGGCGAGGTAGGGGTGTGATGGGGCCAGGCGGAGGGGGGCGGAGGCAGGGGTGCGACGGGGCCGGGCTGTGGGCTGAGGCTCGGGTGGGACAGGCTGTGTTGGGCCTTGGGGCCCTGGCTCCCAGGAGGGTGTGGGTGGGAAGGGCCGTCAGGTCAGTACTTTGAGGGGGACGCGTGGACGGGGCAGGCCGGGACGCAGGTGCGTTGAGAGGGAAGAAGGAGCAGGCCAGAGTCCCTGCCTGGGCCGGGGCAGCTTGCTGGGGGCAAGGCCGGCCGCATGGGCTCGGGCAGAGAGTCTCCCCTCCCCTCCCGCCGTCCGCATTTGAGCTGCTGAGAGACGTGGGGTCGGCTCCTGGGTCCCCGGAGCCGTTGTTGCCGCCACTGGCCTCCCTGGGGGCTTCCTGGCGCCAGCCCAGCCGGCCGGCTAGTGCTCCCCTGGTGCCAACAGGGTGGATGCTGAGCAGCTGGGCCCGCAGGAAGCCCGGGCGGGGACAGGATGGGGAAAGAGAGTGGCCGTCCCTGTGGGGGCTGGGACCAAAGGCCTGGAGCTTCCGGCCCGCGGGAGGCCCGGGCTCTGCTTGGGGCAGCAGGGTCAGGGCGGAGGGAAGTGATGACCGAGATTCCAGATGCCTGCCCTGGCCAGGGAAGGGGCTCAGAGGGAGGATGCCTGCTGGGTCACACGGCACCAGGGCCTGACACTGGCCTTGCAGGCCTCGCCCGGACGCTGGGATCTGACCCCCGTGGGGGCCACGTCCCTGCCCAGTTCTGCCTATTTGCCTTCAAGAAAGCATTTGTGGGGGGGTTCGGGGTGGACGTCTCTCTCCCTGGGTAGTGTGTTTAAAGGCACGGACAGGCTGGGTGTGGCAGCTCACGCCTGTAATCCCAGCACTTTGGGAGGCCGAGGCGGGTGGATCACTTGAGGTCAGGAGTTTGAGACCAGCCTGACCAACACGGAGAAACCCCGTCTCTACCAAAAATACAAAAATTAGCCGGGCGTGGTGGTGCACGCTACTAATCCCAGTTGCTTGGGAGGCTGACGCGGGAGAATGACTTGAACCCGGGAGGCAGAGGCTGCAGTGAGCCGAGATCGAGCCACTGCACTCAGGCCTGGGTGTCAGGGCGAGAATCTGTCTCAAAAAAATAAAAATAAATAAAATGAAGGCATGGACGTGCCAGGTATGGGCAGTTGCTCACATCTGTAATCCCAGCACTTGGGAGGCTTAGGCAGATGGATCACCTGAGGTCAGGACTTCTAAACTAGCCTGGCCAACATGGCAAAACCCTGTGTCTACGAAAAATCCAAAAATTAGCCGGGCGTGGTGACGTGCACCTGTAATCCAGTTACTCAGGAGGCTGAGGCAGGAGAATTGCTCAAACCCAGGAGACGGCGGTTGTCTTGAGCCAAGATTTTGCCACTTCACTCCAGCCTGGGTGACTGAGTGAGACTCCGTCTTAAAAAAAAAAAAAAAGGCGGGGAGCTGGGCACCGTGGTGCACGCCTGTAATCCCAGCACTTTGGAGGCCAAGGCAGGCAGATCGCCTGAGGTTGGGAGTTCAAGACCAGCCTGACCAACATGGAGAAACCCTGTCTCTACTAAACGTACAAAAATAAATTAGCCAGCGTAGTGGTGCATACCTGTAATCCCAGCTGTACCGGAGGCTAAGCCGGAGAATCGCTGGAACCTGGGCGATGGAGGCTGCGGTGAGCCGAGATCGCGCCATTGCACGCCAGCCTGGGCAACAAGAGCAAAACTCCGTCTCTAAAAAAAAAAAAAAAAAAGGAAAAAAGAGGCTGGGCACGGTGGCTCGCAGTTCCAGCACTTTGGGAGGCTGAGGTGGGTGGATCACCTGGGGTCAGGCGCTCGAGACCAGCCTGACCAACATGGAGAAACCTCGTCTCTACTAAAAATACAAAATCAGCTGGGTGCGGTGGTGGGCGCCTGCAGTCCCAGCTACGTGGGAGGCTGAGGCAGGAGACGTGCTTGAACCTGGGAGGCGGAGGTTGCCGTGAGCCGAGATGGCACCGGTGCCCTCCAGCCTGGGCGGCAAGAGCAAACCTCCGTCTTAGAAAAGAAAGGCACGGATGGGGTAGGGGCCGTTCCGGTGGGTTTGGAACCTTGGAATGAGCTGAGCGTAACTGACTCCCGGGGCCTCAGTCTCCCCACCCGGGAACCAGGGAGGCAAAACCCCCACTGTGCGCATCTGAATTCCGGCAAACATCAAGCACCAGCTGTGTGCCCGCGCTGCCCTGGGTGTTGAGACCGAGGTGGGGCTGAGACGGGCCTGGCCTGTCCGCAGAGGTGGAAAGTCAGACACCAGGGCAGAGGCGGTGGGAGTTACTGGCCATGGGGCCGGGCTCGTTGAGCTTGTTTTCACCCCAGCCCTGCTGGGTGCAGCCCTAGTGGGCACAGGCTCAGGCCCCTCCACGTAGGGCAGAGACCTGGCTTGAGACCCAGTTTGCTTTTAGGGGTCTCAACTTCACGCCTCCCCAGGCCACCCGCTTGTCAGGTACTGAAACTGGGTTGGCCTGAGTCTCCACACCCACCTTCTGCCCAGTCAGCGGCTCTGCTGAGACACCTCCTACAGGAAGCCCTCCAGGCTGACCCTGGGTGGGATCCCTCTTCCTGGGGGTGCACAGATCTGGCTCTGTGTCCAGCTTGCCGGCCTGGGCCCACCTCGTTAGACCCACGGACTCAGCCCCCGTCTGTCCTGTGTGCCTTTAACGCCGCCCGCCCTCACCAAAGCCCGGGCTGGGATTTCACATCCCGGTGTTGTTTTCCTGGATCTGTTTGTCCCGTTATCTTCTAATGCTTGGAGCGTGACGCGGTTTTTCCAGTTTTCCCGGAGAGATAAAGTTTCCTGTTAAAAGACAGATCTGAGAGGGAAAAGAGAGTTTGTTTGAGACGGAGAGTGAGGTAAACAGCATAGGCCGTGGGAAGGGGGCAGGGAGAGCCAGCCCTGGTTTGAATCCCGCCTCTGCTACCTGCTGGCTGTGTGCCTGAGTCACTCCGTGCCTCAGTTTCCCCCACCGTGAAAGAGCATGATGGGTTTACCTCTCGGGGCTGCCAGGGCGCATTGCATTTGGGGATCTAGGCCAGGCACGGTGGCCCACACCTGCAATCCCAGCACTTTGGGAGGACGGGGCACGCAGATCACCTGAGGTCAGGAGTTCGAGACCAGCCTGGCCAACGTGGTGAGACCTCGTATCTCCTAAAAATACAAAAAGTTATCCAGGCGTGGCGGCACGCGCCTGGAATCCCAGCTACTCGGGAGGCTGAGGCAGGAGAATCGCTTGAACCCGGGAGGCGGAGGTTGCAGTGAGCCGAGATCGCGCCCCTGCACCCCAGCCTGGGCGACAAGAGCAAGATTCTATTAAAAAAAGAAATCTGGGGAGCCGTCGTGTGGAAGGTGCTCAGGGCCGGGGGTGCAGGAGTGCACCCTCATAGGCACGCCCTCTCCCCAGGTTGGAGAAGGAAATCGAAGTCCTGGAGCATGGAGACTCCACCCCAGCCTCTGCCAAGGAGAACACAGCGGCCCCGAGCCCAGCCAAGGAGGAGCGCAAGGCAGAGGTGGTGATGAATTCACAGCAGGTAAGGGCTGGCTGGGGGGCGGACCCCCGGGCACCCACTCCCACCGGTCCCAGATGGAGACCCCAGCCCTTCCATATCACTGTAGCTGAGTGGACAGGCACAGAGTAGAGCTGGTGCTTGGAGTTCAGCCTCACGGGGCCTCTCTTCCCAGCTGTGTGAGCTGGGACACACGCATGGCTTCGCCTCTCTGGGCCTCGGTTTCCCCATCTATAAGACGGGGAAGTAATCGGAGCAGCGCCTGCTGGGGGCATTGGAAGGGCTCAGGGAATGGCAGGAGACTCAGGGCCGGAGGGTGTGTCGTTAGTGTTTTTTGGGTTTTCTTTTTAGATGAACTCTCACTGTCGCCCAGGCTGGAGTGCGATGGCACGATCCCTGCTCACGGCAACCTCCACCTGCCTCAGGCTCCCGAGTAGCTGGGATTACAGGTGCCCGCCACCACGCCCAGCTAGTGTTTGTGTTTTTAGGAGAGACGGGGTTTCTCCACGTAGACCAGGCTGGTCGCGAACTCCTGATCTCAGGTGATTCGCCCTCCTCGGCCTCCCAGCGAGCTGGGATTACACGTGTGAGCCACCGTGCCTGGGCTGGATTTTTTTTTTGACACACGGTCTCTTGTGTCACCCAAGCACAATCATAGCTCACGGCAGCCTCAACTTCCCCACCTCCAGGGATCCTCCCGCCTCAACCTCCCGAGTAGCCGGGGCCACAGGTACACGCCACCATGGCCAGCTAACTTGCGTATTTTGGGTAGAAACGGGGTGTCACCGTGCTGCCCAGGCTGGGGTTACTGTTTCTGTTGATTTCAGTGGACTCAGCTGTTGATTCTGGGGTCTGACACGTACGCCAGACTGGGCTCAAACCAGACCCTTGCCGGGCGTGGTGGCTCACGCCTGTAGTCCCCGCACTTTAGGAGCCAGGGCAGGTGGATCACTTGAGGTCAGGAGTTCAAGACTAGCCTGACCAACATGGTGAAATATCATCTCTACTAAAAATATAAAAATTAGCCAGATGTCACGGCGGGCACCTGTAATCTCAGCTGCGTGGGAGGTCGAGGCATGAGAATCACTTGGACCTAGGAGGAGGCTGCAGTGAGCTGATCACACCACTGCGCTCCAGCCTGGGAGAGAGCGGGAGCTTGTCTCAAAAAAAAAAAAAAAAAATCCTGGTTCTGGGCAAACTCCTAGACCTTACCGACCTCATGTCAGGTGGGAAGATGGCCCTGAATCAGAAGCCACCCAGGGAGGGTGGTCAGGCTGAACAGGTGGGAAGTCCAGGGTGCCGTGGAACCCCCAAGGAAGCACCTCATTTGTGGGAGGGCTGGGCTTCCTGGGTTTTCTTTTTTGTTTTTTTTTTTTTGAGGCAGAGTTTCACTCTTGGTGCCCAGGCTAGAGTGCAATGGCACGATTTTGGCTCACTGCAGCCTCCACCTCCTGGGTTCAAGTGATTCTCCTGCCTCAGCCTCTCAAGTATCTGGTATTACAGGCGTGCCTCACCGTGCCCGGCTGATTTTTGGGGTTTTTAGTGGACACGGGGTTTCACCATGTTGGTCAGTCTGGTCTCAAACTCCTGACCTCAGGTGATCCACCTGCCTCGGCCTCCCAAAGTGCTGGGATTACAGGCGGGAGCCACTGCACCCAGCCAAGGCAGTGGATTTTGAAGGCTGAATAGGAGTTCTCCAGGCAGTTTTCCCTGAAGGGTGACTGGGCACTGACTAGTGCTGGCATGGGAGACCCAGCAATACACAGGTATGGTCTCTGCCTTCCTGAGGGGCACGCCGGTGACGGGGGGAGTGGAGTGAGGGAACATCAGACACCACGGCCCTGAGACAGGAGTGTGTCCCAGAAGCAGCAAGAGGGCCTGGGCACAGTTGAGGGAGAGGGGCCTGTGTGCAGAGTCTGACCACGCAGGGCAGAACTGGCTCAGACAGGAGACACTGGACCCTCAGCCTCACACAGTGACTCCCAGGAGGCCAAGGCAGGGGGATCGCTTGGGAGCAGGAGTTCAAGGCCAGACTGGAGGGCTCCCGGAGGAGGCGGCTGGATTCAGGGCGGCCTCCAGGGGCTGCTGACGGGGGTGGGGGGCCCGCGGGGAGGGAGAAAGAAATGAGACAGGCCGGGCACGGCGGCTCATGAGGGTAATCCCAGCACTTTGGAGGCTGAGGCGGGCGGATCACCCGAGGTCAGGGGATCGAAACCAGCCTGGGCAACACGGCAAAACCCCTGTCTCTACTAAAAATACTAAATTAGTCAGGCGTGATGACGCATGCCTGTCGTCCCAGCTACTTGGGAGCGTTAAACAGGAGAATCGCTCGAACCCGGGAGGCGGAGGTTGTGGTGAGCCGAGATCGCGCCACTGCGCTCCAGCCTGGGTGACAAGAATCAAAACTCTGGCCGGGCGCGGTGGCTCACGCCTGTCATCCCAGCACTTTGGGAGGCCGAGGCGGGTGGATCACGAGGTCAAGAGATCGAGACCATCCTGGTCAACAAGGTGAAACCCCGTCTCTACTAAAAATACAAAAATTAGCTGGGCATGGTGGTGCGTGCCTGTAATCCCAGCTACTCAGGAGGCTGAGGCAGGAGAATTGCCTGAACCCAGGAGGCGGAGGTTGCGGTGAGCCGAGATCGCGCCACTGCACTCCAGCCTGGGCAACAAGAGCAAAGCTCCGTCCAAAAAAAATAAAATAAAAAAAATAAATCAAAACTCTGTCTCCAAAAAAAAGGAAAAAAGAAAGGAGATGACCCCCGTGTTTCTGGCTGGAGCCGCAGGAGGATGGGACCAGAAGCGGCGTGTCTGACGTCACCCACTGTGCCACGCCCGTCCCACGCTCCCGGCCCCTCGGGCTCCCCTTCCTCCTGCCGGGGACGCTGACACCCCTGACCTCTCTCTGTTCTTTCTTGCAGACCCCGGTGGGCACACCCAAAGGTAGGGCTTCCGGAAGGAATTCGTGGGGCCTTGGCGCGCTCTGGTGGCCAGAGGGGGGATGGCGGGACGGGGAAGGCCGCTCAGGCTGACAGGTGCACGGTGGCTCAGCCTTGTGATCCCAGCACCTTGGGAGGCCGAGGCGGGTGGATCACCTGAGGTCAGGAGTTCGAGACCAGCCTGACCAACATGGCAAAACCCAGGATCTACTGAAAAAATATGAAAAATTAGCTGGGCGTGGTGGCCCACACCTGTCATTCCAGCACTTTGGGAGACCCTGTCTGTGCCAAACATAGAAAAAAAATTAGCCACCAGCTGGGCCCAGTGGCTCACGCCTGTCATCCCAGCACTGTGGGAGGCCGACGCGGGTGGATCACGAGGTCAAGAGATCGAGACCATCCTGGTCAACAC